AGTCAGGCGTTTGACTCTGAGTGGGCAGATCATTGTCTGACAGGGCCCCAAGCATGGCAGGCAGGGGGTGCCATCCAAGCATATACTTAGTACAGTGGAGCCCTGTTTCCCGTTGAGAGGGCGATTCCAAGGTCTTGGTCTAGGGTTATGGCTGCGAGTGTTTCCAATTAGGAGAGCAGATCGCGGACAACTTTATCGGTTCCTGCACTTGATGGGCGGCTGGAATTGGTGAGCGTACGGATGTAGACATATCGTACTCCATACTTCGAGCATATAGTTCATTGAGAGCGATTGGCCAGAGAATCCATAGAAGGAGGTAGTTCCGTCGTAGTGAAAGCGAATGCGAGATCAATGGCCAGACGCCAGCCTCTGCCGCTAACGGGGTGCTGATTTCTTCCGATTTCATTGCAGCCAACATTGCCGAATTGGGTTCTCAAGTCGGCTGTCGATTGGCTCTTGACAACTCCCACGGGCTTTTCCAGGAAGTATCGTTCACAACTTTTTACTAATGCTAACACGAGTTGTCCTTCAGAGTGCCCTTACTTCTCACACTTTAAACAACAGCGAACTGAACAGACAATTCTTTTTGTCAATTCATCAAGTTAGTGCCTATTGTTTCTCTCCTGAATTTGAACAAAACTGGGAAGGGTGCAGTGACCAGAGTCAATATCCGAGGGCGTCGTTTACGTGAAACGAAATTGCTTGGCGCTCTTGTGGTTCAATAGGGGGCTTCAGGTCAGACATCTTACTGGTGCAACATCTCGCCAGTGGCCATTAACCCATTCGGTATGTAGCAACGATCATCGCATCAGCTTCTACTGACTCCGGAACTCAACAAATCTAAAAGACTACACGTGCGACAAGCGAAGAGAATGCTGGTTCAACATAAAGGCAGAAGAAGATGTATGAAGGTCATGCAAGTAGCGCACGCGGTACATCAGACACTTGGCAGCAATCTCAACAGCCGAGAGTTACGGCTTTACATTCGTTCTGCTGATAGATGATGCTCTAGTTGTAGACGATTTTGCAAGTATGATGTAGCGCCTGGCAGCCATTGGTGTTGCCCTCCCCGATCTCGGCAGAATGACGATATCTTCGTCTCTTAAATTAAATATCTCACAAACACAGCCCAAGCACTCGCAATAATTGCAACCAACAGCCCGAACGTCAAAGTAGTGAACCACTTCTTCGACGTCCGTCTCGTCAGCGGGTCCGCCTGCCGGTCCACAATCAAGGCCTCCTTCGCCTGTCTCTGTTTCCTAGTCAAGGTCATCCCCTTACCCAAGAATCGATAATCAACGATAATGTACGACAAGCCCAGCACAAATGCCCATGCCTTAATAGCAATCGCCACGGTCAGGACTTTGGAGTAGCCGTTCCCCTCCGTATCGTCTTGAAGCGCGCCAAAGACAACGTCCATCTAGATAGTGAACGTCAGTACCTGTTCCAAGTATTTTCAAGAGCAGAAGAGCAATGGAAGATTTCAGGAGATATAAAGGAGTTCCGCTTACAATCGTTGACCCAGAGTTGTTGAAAGCTCTCCACACCCCGAACGCCGTCCCAATCTTTGCCTGGTCCGCCACCAGCAGCGGGATACAAATTTGCAATGGCATCGAGTTGATCACGCCCGCCAAGCTAGAAAAGACAAGCGCCGCAAGTGGATGGACATCGGTGAACCCCAACATTGCGCAAGCAATAATCCACAACACCGGGGCTGTCGCCACGTAGTGAAACCGGTGTCCGTACTTATCTATAGCAAGACCGACAAACGGGCTCAGCACAATGGGCAGAATCTTCTGCGCAGTCGACAAGTACCCCGCCACCGCCTCCGTATACCCCTTCATGAAGATGATGTCGGCCGAGCTGGTGCTGAAGCCACCCGCGGCACCGCTCTGGAGCAGCTGCGTCGCGGGGAGCATCAGGTAGGCCCATGGCAAGGCGAACAAGACGTTCCAGGAGAAGCGGCGGCGATCCGAGAGGTTCTGCTGCTCGGCGATGGCGCGGGCTCGGCCCGAGGTTAGTCGAAAGCGAGGCGGGACGGCGAGGCGCTCGAAGGTCACGTAGGCGACGTTTACGATTAGGGAGAAGCCGCAGAAGAAGACGGGGATCCAGAATGTCCAACCGTACCAGCCTGTTCCGTCGCGGATGGGGATGGCGACCATGCCCGAGACGAGACTGACCGTGTTGGCGATGGCGGACTCGAGGCCGAAGGCGAAGGCGAGGCCTGATGCGCCGAACCAGTGGTAGAAGAACTTGAAATCCCGTCAGTCGAGATATTACCAAAGAGTGCTAACCATTCATCCCTAAATGAAGAGGACCAACTCACCTTTTGCGTAGCAGAGTCAAGCACCGCAATCCCGAACCCCATGAGCACATGCCCGCTCACAAGAACCCTCCAAAGCCCAACCTGCACCCCGGCCGCCGCAACCACGGACCCGACGAGGATCACGGCGGTACAGCACAGCGTAACGAGGTTCGGTCCCCACCAGTCGAGCACCAGCCCTCCAACAATGGGGAACACGGTGTTGACAAAGGCGTCGGCGCTGCTGATGACGCCAAACTGCGCGTTGTTTACGCCGAGCTCGTTGCGCAGCGTATTCTTGAGCGGGCCGAGAGCGGAACCCGTCCAGGTGTGTCCGATGGGGAGGGAGACGATGCAGAGGAGGGCGATCCATTTGTAGGACCAGGGGATTCGTTGGAGGGTCTCGTCTTCGGTATCGATGGGGGGCAGGTCGGCGGGCGAGATACCGAGGGCTTGGATGTCGATGTCTGGTTGTGTCTTTTCTTCATCCCGTACGGGGGCTGGCGCTTCTGGGGTGTCTGGCATCTTGATAACGGACAGTGTAGGCCACCAAGCAAACTCGCTGAAACTGTAGAAAAGTTTTATGGCTTGTGGAAACACTCACAAATAAGTCTCAAGAAAAGATATTATATATCCAATTCTCCGTCACACTTACACCAACGTCTCGGGCAGAAGGCCGAGCATCCTGCAAACGGGGCCTCCATTGATTGCTAGCCCTGCATCTTATCTGATCCATCTGACAAGCTCTACAGAGGCATTGATCTGATAAAATGTCGCAAACCCCATTTTAGCGCTCAGCGTGCCTATCACGTCCCTCTTGGTCTTCGTATGGTGGTCTTGGCGCTCACCGCCGCACCCCATATCAACACTTGGCATCGGTCCTTCCCAGCGTTGAGGAATCTTGGCAACAAATGTCAACCGCGCCCAAAGAATCCATGGGAGAGGTGGAGACTCCGTCTGGCGGCTCTAGAGAAATCTGTTGGGAAACTGGACTTTTTTCAATAGTCCATGATCCGTTTCTTGGGTTCTCCATTGAAAGTGTTTTCGGTTCATACCTCGGAGTAACACTCGTTAAAACTCAGGAATTCTTCATGCTGATAGTAAATAGTGCAAACGACAAGAATTCAGCCGAAATTTGGAGTTAGAATCGAGCCCCCAGGGTTGAGTTTATTGCTTTGAAATACTCAGACATCACCCGCATTTTGACGTAGATCTATCAAGATATGCATGGCACGAACTTAGTTCAAAGGCTCACCAGTTCAATGTCGTTCTTGTTTTCTTTCGGTATCCCGAAATTTCATACCCCTTCACTCTGTATCAGAAAGAAATTCCGGGATTCGAATTTCTCCCGACAGAATTCCATAGACAACCGTTTTCTTGGGCAAAAGTATGGGTGATAACTTCCCAATCTTTAGGTGCACCAATCAGCTAATCTTTTGACAATATCAAATGTCTTGGCTCTTCTAAGCTCTTTTGAAAAACACTTAAGCATGTAGCGCTTTCTCCTACTGTATATCAACAGTCTTAAGTTGAGACAAAGATATCCAGCATGATAAAGAACGACTGTCTCGATGGCTGAACGTCCCGTAGTCGATATGAATGATGTCTGTCTATCATGACCATGCACATACAGATATTCACAGCAATACTACTCGATGTTATGTACTAACAGTCTAAATGATGAAACGTTGACTCATGCCTTCCCGTTTAGGCCATATATGCTTCGAAGCATGGTGACACTAGGTAACAGCCATCCAAGCCCTTCGTAGCGCAGCTTTGAAGCTGGCCTCCGCCCGTATTTTGATGCCGCACAAGACAAACTGTATTTGAATGATCTCTATCAACAATCAAAGCAGAAATCGAAGCCTTTGAGCTCTGTCCACTTCTAGGCCTTTTTGTCAGACACTATGCCTTCCTTCTTTCACGTCAATGATCTTTTGTCTAGTCCAGCAACGCCCATGCTTTGTTGATAAAAGCCTCTTGAAGGTATGCAAGTCTTGTTTAGTGATCGCAGCTAAGAAAAAGCACAGTTTACGGCTCAATTCAACTTGACAAAATCTAGGGATGTAAGGATGATGGGCTCATAGGACCTTGCGCCGTGATCTAAGAAACATCCTGGGTTTGTTTCTTTGTACTTATAAATATTTTAATTAGAACCATTCTGTACAAACGCTTCATTGTTTCGGCAAGTGTATATTCAAAAAGGAACAAACTTCGAGTACATGAGCAGGAAAACAGTGAAGGTCTTGAAAATGAGAACCTCAGATCCAGCGTCGAATTTGGCCACCGCGGTTGAATACCCGGAGAGAATGGAAGCCGCGGGAGGCATTGGTGCCTGGGACACGGGCCCCTACTTAGCAGGCACGTGATAGGTCGTTTGCCTGGGTACCTATGAGAGAGGTGAACTTGTCCGCGCTGCATAGACCTAATCTAGATACCTCTACGGGTAGCCTCAACTTCGCTTACCTTCTACCTTTTCCCAAGCCGAGACTAGGGTTTGTTTTTATAAAAACCCACCTTCAATTTTCTCTCACACTCGCCATTGCGCATCTCCCTCGCCATTGCGCATTTCACTCGCGGTAAGTATTTTCATCTACATTAAATCATTGAGCACTTGAAATTCATTTACTGAGCTGACAGGATGCAGACAGTGCTACTCTTCAACTTGGACTACTCTTGATACCTACCTCACGCGAACATGGCATCTCAGTCCGGCCTGAATTTGCCGACTGTGCTAAGCAGCGTTGTCGCTCATCCCCTAAGCCAGCAACAGCTGGACGACAGCCAGTCTGAGCACTCGTCAGCTCTGACAGATCCGGAGGGTTACGCTCATCTCTGGGAATCCTCCGACAAGATACTTGAATTCTACGGCGCCTTACAATCCGACCCAACCGTCAGCATCTTGATCACTTTTCGAGAAATACTCTCACATCACGGGGCAACCGCGCTGATGAGTGACATCATGACGATTGGCAGAGATAAATCCCAGCTGAAGTCATTCTCGCGTTACCTTATCAACACCATTCTCAAACCCAGTAAGTCATTCTTAGTTCCATCTTCTAGCAAAGCAACTTCATTCATCAACTCGGCAATTTGAAACGAAATCGCTTCAGTTGGTTAACTACCACAACCAACTTGACCAACGATTGCCTTCAATCAAGTCAACTTGAAGCGCCGAGTTGAATTGATTGCGATGAGTGCAGAGCTGCTACTATCAGCTCTCAAAGTCTTCATTACATGTCCATACTAATAAATTTTACCTTCAATAGTGAAGCTTGCTGGTGTCGTAAGATCTAGCGCGTCCTCAACTGCGTCACCTAGTCCCGGTGCTGCCGCTTCCATTGCGCAACTCGCGGCCAGCGTGCAGCCGTCTGATAGAAACCAACAGCCAACTCTCAAATCGATCTGCCTGAAGCGCGATGGGTACCGCTGCGCATACACCCATGTGTACGATATCACGAATGCACGAGGAGGCCGTGTTGTGCCGCCAGTTGGCGCCTTTACCTCTAACACTCAACTCTGCCACATCTTGCCGTTGGCACTTAGAAGGTTTGACAACGCCAGTCCAGTTGCCAGAGATGCGGTGGCCAGAGTCTGGTATGCATTGTACCGCTACTTCCCTGAGTTGGAGGGCAAAATCGGTCCTGATACTCTGAACCAACTCGAGAATCTCATCACCTTCGACATGTCGGTTCACTACGACTACGGCCACCACTGGACAGCATTTGACCCTATTCCTGGCCGGGTAAGTCATCTTTACGAACACCACACTTCGTATATGTTTCGTTCTTTTTCTAATGGATTTGGCTAGCCCAACACGTACAAAATCCATCAGATGTCAGGATGGCCCGTCAGGTACCAACCCCCGGAAGGCCATCGCGAAGTTATGACCTTGGTCTCCTCAGACAACAGCATCCCGCTCCCCAAGCCAGAGTTCTTCAACGTTCATTACAGAATCGCGAAAATTCTTTATGTAAGTGGGATTGGGGCAAGGATTGAGGCAGAGATTGAGGATTCTCAGAGTGACCCTGAGAATCTGAGCCCAGATGGTTCAACCGACCTGGAGTCGATTCTATGCCGGAAGATGCTGATCAATGTTTAGACTGTCAAAATCTAGCGCGTGGATATCTGAGTCTAAAGGAAGGATGGGTCAGCGTGAACGGGCGGCTTCTGTCGTTAAGAAGCTATGTATGGGCTCAGGATGGGGAACACAAGCTGCACACTGGAAGTAGATGTAGATGCTCAGTCTGACTGTCCTACGGGACAGCAGAGGGTCAAGAAGACTTTGTACGATAACAAGACCAAGACGACGTAATGCATAGTATGAAGGAGATTCAATCAACACACAAAACGCATGATAAGATGGACAGTCTTTGTTGAGTCAGGCATAGCTTGAAGCCTCGAAAAATGGTCGCAGGCTCTCTACCCAAAACCCCCTGACCCCGACTTCTATGCAAGTCAACCTATGGCATGGGATCCTGCAAAAACGAAAAAAGAACCCCGTCTTTCTCGTACAAATTTCGTATGGATTGGGCGCGGGGCTCCGGAAACAAGACGCGCATAGAATGTCAAGACATGCGGTTCGGCGGGGCATTATCGGAAGGCATCAATATCCGACATCCAGACATCCGTAAACCCGCTTCGGAAGGAGGAATGCAGCCTGAAAACTTTCTTCCCGGCAAAAATTCCCGTGCAGTCTGCAAATGGGTCTATTCCACCTGCTGTACTACCAACAACGATGGCCAGGCACGCGAGCACATGCCATATGAAGAGGCCGTTGCCCCTCTGGTCTTGCATTATCGGAGGAGGATGCCTGTCGTCCTGGAGGATAGCTTTTTTTGCAGATGGCCTTCGGTGACGGATGCGGCATAGACTCGCGTGACTGCCTTCGAATTGCCTCCGGGAGTGGGACTCGGTGGCCGACGACCCCTCCAACCGCATTTACATACCCGCTGGAACTCGGCGTATCTGTAGTGAAAGCTGCGATGCTACCCGTTACATGGCTAATACTTTGGCGCATATGCAACTTATTACATGGCCGGGACCGTTCTCAACTGCACGAAGAAATCCTCTATGCATGGTCTAAAGCCCACATAGTCGAGATTTGGGGGCCGTTGGTAGTTGGATCGAACCCTCACCCTCTTGATATCGATGCTGTCGGACGTGCGGGTCCCCCGACGTTTCTCACAACGTTGCATGGTCGAGGTTCCGTAGCGAGCACGGTCTAGTCAGTCTCTCGCAGCCGATGATGAGGCAGTTCATCAGATCCCTGAAAAGTGCCCATCCGTAGGCGATCAAGAGGGGCAAATGGCGAGACATGCCGTTCTGTTGCCGCTCCAATCCGCACTCAAAGCCTTCGCCTGGTCCCAGTAAAGAGTTGGGTGGATTCACCGTACGCAGTAAAATGCAGCATGTGTGTAAAGACACTCAAGGAGTGTTCTGAAGTATGTTTCTGCCCCTATCTGCGGCTTCCTAAGCCTTTGCTTGCATGAGGTCAACGGCTATCGTCTCGAGCGCTGGAAGGGAATGCATCGAGTTGCAGCTTGGCAGCTTGCTTGTCTACAACAGGAAGAAAAGTAGCCTATCGGCAACAGGCCGTGACGATTTTGCCAAAACGTCAAAATCCAATCCACCATGCCAAGTGATGCATACTGACGGGATCTTTGCGTTGGGGAATGCGAGGGGTCAATGACCGAGGAGGCCAATAGATCTCATCAGTCAAGCACGTGGGATATACGAGAGCAGGCATTTGTCGATCCACTCCAACATTTTAGGTGGAGAGTTCAGAGGCGGCTCGCGGCGGGCCATGAGCCGCGGAACGGGACCCTGGACGGAAGAGAAAGGTGGTCAAGGCGGCATTGCGTTTGGCTGCTTTCTACTCCATCGCAGTGCATTTCCGGTGGAGAGAGAGAGAGAGGGACTGTTGCTGACAGATATTTGAAATTAGTTGAGATGTGATTCCTGGAGTCTTCGTTGGTGGTCATTGTGGTTCAGAACTGTCTAGTCAATTTCAAGAGAAAATTGGTGGAATCTTACTCAGCATTCAGACTGAGGTAGATCAGCGACTTACAGGCTTGGGCCTTGTAGTTGCTGGCGCATATTGATTGGACCAAAGTGAGGCCCGCGTCATGAGCCTCTATAATCTATTCTCTCTTAGTTTGCCCGGCTTTTGCAGTGTGGCGGACGGCCCGAAGAAGAGGCGGCACACCAACGGAAAGAAAGGTGTGGTACGAAGTCGTCAAAGGATGCTGAAACTGGCTGCAGGCGATGAAATTTTGCGATGTGGCGCGCGTGAGACATCCAGAATAACTCGGCGCGTGATGTTGTGGCACAGACCGAGAGATTTGGGCTGCCTCTGAAGGTAGGACCTACAGGAGGCCCCACCATTTCAAGGCTCACATACGAGTCCCAGTGTCTTTCCGAACATTGTGGCTCCAGCCGGTATCATAATTTGGGAACGTGCCATTGGCGTAAACAAGAATACATCGAACGGCATGGAGAAGTCTACAGACCTAACGGCAATGGATGAGGATATGTTGAAGTCGTAGCCACACGTCGTACGTGAACTAGAACCAATCTCGATCTGCGCTCGTTGGTATGGCTTAGCACGGCGTGTTGCGTGGTCAGTGGTTATCGACATGGAGGCCTAGCCGAGACCGAGCCAGTAGAAGAGGAGCAAAAGTGCAGAGCGGTGACACGAAGTCTATCTTGTCGCGATAGTGAGACGGCCAGCTGTCAAATGAAGCAAGTGAGCATGTGCTCATCATCTAAGTTAGGTTCGTCCGCTTACGGATGAGGGGGGAATTGGGGGAACCCCGACTGGCATGTTATCTGTGCCGAGCAACGATGCTTCCCTGCGGCGTGGATGATAGCAGCGGACAAGACCAATCATTGAGCAGAGTGCTTTTTAAAGCACAAACTCAGTCATGTCGCAATGCTGGGTTGCCGTCTGCGCTGCATGCAAGCGAATGTGCAAAGTCGCAGTTGCAATGGCGAAAGCACCGAGGAGCCCGGACGCGTGCTGAGCGGGCGGAACTCAATCATTTGGTTGATGGACGAGATGAGACAGGCGGGCAGTTGCAAGTTGCAAACAACCTTCCTCTTCTCCGAAGCGGTCGGTCCCAGTCAAGACTCTGACTTTTAGTAAATGTCTTTTGTCAAACACGGCCGGGTTCCAAAGGCTCAAGAGAATAGCGGGCTCCGACAGCGTTCCGAGTACGGGCGGGACGTGGCGCCGCCGGCTCTGGTGCTGCTTTTTGCCGGGTACAATTAGGCAGGGTTGATTGGGCCGAAGAAGGCAGACAACGCAGACTATCACGATCCGAGAGTAGTCACGGTGTAGTCGAGGCAATCCCTGGTTGCGCTAGAGCAAAATCAGATGCAAAGAGGCAGAGATTTCTTTTTGGGTTTCCACCGGCTGTCCACTTTCAAGGTTTTGGTCGACATGGAAGAGTAGAGTCAGTGGTTGAGACCTTGATGAAAAAATCTGAATGAGTTGGCGCTAATGCGATATCGCGGCGTTACTTTATTGAAGTTTTGGTACGATGTACGATATAGTCGTATGGGTACTTAGAATCAGAAAGCGAAAGGGTGTTGGAGATGGAGACAACTGAAGTGATCCACGGCCGCTTCGGTTCAAAAGTGCATGGAGTTGGAGAGAAGACCGTAGAAGGCAGGAATGGCCGAGAAAAGCAGGAATTGCCTAAGATGAGTGGGAGAGGCTTCCCACCCCGTATCGCAGGCGGCAGGTGCAGCAACGGGGATTCGGAAGCAAGGGCAGGAAGTCCACCTGGGCAGGCAGGACCGCAGTGCGGCAGGGCCAGGGGTAGGTCTCCGTAGTACCGTACCGCACCTCCCCTGACAACCTGAACATCAACTTGTTGCTCTTGCGAATCGATAGGGAGGGGAAGGAGAGAATGGGCAAGGTGGGCCCAAGATGCGGCATGCCTGCCCTCTAGCTGCACCTCATACAGAAACGGCAGCGAAACAGCATTTGGTGCTGCAGGAGCATCATTGGGTGGAGGGAAGGAGGGAGACAAGACTTGGCAGACATCTGAAGTCACCTCCAGAGGCTCCAGGCGCAGACGACCGTCTCAACCACCTCAAGGCTCAAGCCCCCAACCTCGAGTCGCGGCTCGCCATGATTGATGCTATTGTCGCAATTGCAACAGCAACCTCAAGGGTAATCATACACCGCCATACTCCGTGCCAAATCGAACCTCTCACTATCTTTGCCAATACATGCGCAATCCACATCATTCTGGCCGTTGTCGGACTTGGCCATGCAGAGTCACGTTGGGTGCGGCATCGATCAATCGTCGTTGCTTAACCGTCGTCATGCCTGCGAGTCTGCGACCTGGAGGAGGGGACGGGACCCTGAAGGAAGCAACGATGGTAGCTTATCCAATTGCTCCGAGTCTCCTCCCTCCTGCAGCCGATGACTGTGCCAATGTGCTAACGATGGCCTTGCAAGCGGAGACCTGGGGAGCAAGGAGTCACGATGCCCACAACTACGTACAATTGAGGCCCGTCATTATCATCATGGTGGTGCTAGCTTGCCTTATGTAAGGAGTCTAACGTGCCATGGGTGCTTGGCAGAGGTACTGTGTATTGATACTCTCTCTGCAGATTGTTCCCTCGTGTGGCGGCCAGCGGCGTCATAGAGACGAGGGGCTGCAGCACCAATTGATTCTGCTGCTGCGAGCCAAGACGTGACATGGCAAGCGTCCAAGGCATCGCGTCTCGGAGCGAGCCCAAGTGAGTATTCTCTCTGCCGGTATGCGGCCAGCCGTAGCTCGGTGTCGGCGCAAAGATTGGGAGAGGGAAAAGAGAATGGGCAACAAGACAGTCGACAATTGAAGAACAAAACACAGTAGGTGCTGTCGAGTGCTGATGTTGCGGAAAAGGACCCGCCCATTCCGCGCCTCTCCTCCGTGATACCTTAAGGTACGTTACCGATACCGGTACCTAAGGTAGGTATATACCGGAAGCAGGGCCGCGGCCATTATCTGTGAGGCATGTTCCTTCCCAACCCAGAATCCTGGGCAACACATTCATCAACGCATCCAACCATACCGACGTAGAAAGGGACCATACTTCGTG